TCTCTCCAGCCCTTTTAAGAGGAATATTTGAAAGATTCTAATCTGGAATGTTTGCTATGGAAGTTTTTTCTTTCCCTATCATTGGTCCAACTTTTCCCCAAGTATGGATTCTGGGTTGTTTTCTCTTACCTCAATTTTTCTCAGTTTGGAACTATCTTTTTTCAATTTATTAATTTGTTTCTGGGCATGGTGGCACACACCTTTAATCCCAGCACTTGGGAGGCAGAGGCAGGCGAATCTCTGTGAGATCGAGGTCAATGTGGTCTACATTGTGAGGTTTAGGCAGGCTGGGACTAGAGACTCTGTGGGGGGGTATTATTTGGTTTTTGCATGCATGCAGCACTGACCACACTTGTGTGGAGATCAGAGGACATACAGGAGTCAGTTTTCTCCTTCTACTATGTGGGTCCCTGGGTCAAAGTCAGGGTGTCCGCTTGGCAGGAAGTCCCTTTACCCATTGAGCTCCTCTCTCTCTCTTTCTTTCTGTCTCTCTCAGTGTTGAAATTTAGCCTAGGGCCTTGTACATGCTAAGCAGGTGCTTCATCATTGAACTACATCCCTCGGTCTGAGTTTGACAATATCAATCTAGAATTAGAGGCAAGAATTCATCCACGTTCATGATAAAATTTTGCAATTTTTTTTTCAACTTAAATTCTTTTTTCCTGTTCAGTTATTTTTCTTCATTGCAAAATAATTAAAACATCGTAAAACATTGATGTATGTTTTAAGTGTATTTTTTTTTTTTTTTTGGTCTTTTTGAGACAGGGTCTCCTTGTAGCCCTAGCTGTCCTGGAACTCACTATGTAGACCAGGCTGGCCTCAAACTCACCAAGATCCGCCTGCCTCTGCCTCCCAAGTGCTGGGATTAAAGGCGTGAGCCACCACACCCGGCATTTAAGTGTATTTTTAAGGGCAACATTTCACTTTAAAGCTTACCATTGGTGTGATGAAAAACATTTTTCATTAAAAATTAATTAATTAATTAATTAATTACTTATTTGAGACAGGGTCTCTCTGTAGCCCCAGCTGGCCTGGAACTCGCTATTTAGGCTTCAAGCTCACATGTCTTTTAAATCTTTTTTCAGGTCAGGACAGAGTCAATGAGATGTCCTGATGGTCAGCGAACCAGATGGTCTTAATTGAATTCCCTCAGGTCTCCTACCACCATCTGCCCACATAACCATGCACTCCAGACCGATGTTCCAGCCTTTTGAGACCATCTCCCTCTTTGTTGATGTCCCTGTGCAGCAGGAAGAAGCTAAAGAAACACCACTGTCACCCCATATCATCAAAAAAAGGCTGGAATGTTAGGTTCCTGACAGCTCCTAAAATGGTGCACAGCTTGCAATAGTCTAAAACAGTGGGTCCGAATTTAGGCCCAGGCAAGTCCCGCTGCTTCCTGGGGGACCAATCGATCCTGAGCTGAACTGCCTAGCCTACGTCATGGAGAGTTACTCAACCACCTTACTGCCTATGAAAGACCTCTGACTTCTCCTGCTGCTGCTGTTTCTTTGCTTCCCTAGAGGCAGCCCAGCAGCCTGATAACTCTCAAATAAACTGCTGCCCCCCAAATTATATTTATTTATTTATTTATTTATTTATTTATTTATTTATTTATTTATTTATTTATTTATTTGAGACAGGGTCTCTCTGTAGCCCCAGCTGGCCTGGAACTCACTTTTTAGACCAGATTGGCCTTGAACTCACAAAGATCCGTCTGCCTCTGCCTCTTAAGTGCTGGGATTAAAGGCGTGCACCACCATGCCCGGTGCTTATTTTTGTTTTATGTGTATGCGTGTTATGTCTACATGTGCGTTAGTGCACCTGTGTCATGCAGTGCCAGGGGAAGACAGAAGAGGGTCTCAGATCCCCTGGAACTGGAGTTATGGATGGTTGTTAGCTGTCATGTGGGTGCTGGGATTTGAACCGGGTCTTTTGCAAGAAGAGCTAGTGCTCTCAATTGCTGAGCCACCTGCCTAGCGCCCCCAAATATTTTTTTTTTATGTTCACATGAAGCTACAAAATTCTGAAGGAGACACAGTGTTTTAGAAAAAGGGAAAAGACTAAATTGTATGACAGAGTTCTTGGTAGGGAAAAGCACCTAGAGATGCTCTAGATTTCTTTCTCAAAGCTGTCTTTCTTTTTTCTTTCAGTGCTGTGAACTGAGGGCCTCATGCATTCTAAGCATGCACTCTACCAATAAGCTACAACTCCAGCCCCTCCCAGCTCTTTTCCTTAAGAATAAAAGAAATAGAGGACCTATTTAAAATTTTAAAGCTGTTCAGAGTTTCTAGGACAATCTAGAGGAGTCTTTTTTTTTTTTTTGTGTGTGGTATTTTTGAGACAGGGTCTCCTTCAGCCCCAGGTGGCCTAGAACTCGCTATGTAGACCAGGCTGGCCTTGAACTCACAGAAATCTGCCTGTCTCTGCCTCCCGAGTGCTAGGATCAAAGTTGTGAGCCACCACATTTTTAAAGAAAAGGAAAGATATTTCATTTTTGACAGCAGGCCCCTTCCATGGATGTTTGTGCTCTGGCATGGGATGATGCTCTAAGAAGCGGCCTTGAGTTGTCTCACAGGTGGAAAACAGTAAGTACAGTAATGAACTGATCAATGGAACCTCTAATGTTCCATTTTTCAAGAGATTGTACTCTGACACACATTCCACTGAGCATGCTCATAAGAGCCTTGCATTCTAGATGCACAGAGAATGCATGCACTGAACACACTCCCCACCCCAACAACACATCCCAAACTGCCCCTGAACACATATATTCCAACATGGCTACAACACAGCATGCTTCCGAGCCTGCAAGCTTTTACAGCCCTCAGCCAACAAGCTGCCAAAAAGATGCTCAAGCAGCAGCTGACGTGGGCCTCCCCTCTAGCACCCTTGACCACTACAGAGAACTTCCTGTGACCCCAGGGATTCATGGGAGGGAGACAACATTTGCCAGATGTACCCTGGAAGCCATTTTGCTTTGTGCCCTCACTTTCCCTCACATCCTCATCTTTCTCTAAGAGAAAAAATCCTGTTTGGGCATTTCAGAAAGGTTACATACTACCTAGTAGTAACCTTTAGCAGAACAACTGTTTTTAAAGTACCTACAGTTCTCTTGGGTTTATGACTTCGTAAAAAAAGTTTTTATATCTTTTTGTTGTGTTGCCTTGAGACAGGGCCTCTCACTAAGAGGGAAGCTCACAGTTTTGGGGGGTGCCTGGCCACTGCACAATTTCATTTGCCTGTTCCCATCTCCTCGATTCTGGGAGTACATGCTCAGCTATGATTGGCTTCTTATCTGGGTTCTGGGGATTCAAACGCAGGTCCTCATGGTTGCAGAGCAAGGTTCCTACCCACTGAACCATCTCCCTATGTCTTTAGGCAGGGAGAGGATTAGCAAGCCTGTCAATAAAATGAAATTTTGACTTACAAGTTGAAAGAGAGGGAGCTTGAATTTCTGTTTGGCCTTGCAGAGGTCTGAAACGTACTTTGTGGAGGTGATTCATTTTTGTCCCACTCTGGGGCACTATTACTTGAACCTTTTTCCTATTCTTTTATTTTTATGGGGCTGGGGGGCTGAACCAGGGCATTGCACACACTAAGCACGTGCCCTGACACTGAGCTATGTCCCAGCCCTCCATGATTTTCCTTTAGTGCAGTGGTGTTCCTTCTGCCATGAATGTCAAAAGACTACCCTTAGGGTTTGTTTGGGAGGCTGTGATGGCACTAAAACTGCAAAGGGGAACAGAGGCCTTCACTCTGGGTTTGCTGGTCTCATGACTGGTTTGCTAAGCTCCTTTCTCATCTCCTAATCTTTAGATTCCAGTCCTCTGAATTCCTTGGCTCAAGTCCAGTCTCTTCCCTTCATGCCCCTCCCCACCTCCATGCATTCCCCGTTCATCAGGCCACAACAGAAAGCTGCAAAACTCACCTGAAACCCATTTCCTCCAAGCACACTCCCCTGACAGGATGAAGATATCTCTAGAGCATGACCAGCACACGCCACAACGAGCAGGAACTCACCCCAAAACGAACACGGAAACTCAAACTCACAAAAAGAGAAAATTGCATGTTCTCTACTTTTGAACTATTAAGCCCCTAGGAGGGTAAGGGCACTTTGTTTCGTTTTAGCTATTCATTGGTTTGGTGCTGGGGATGCAGCCCAGGGCTGTGTGTGTGCTATACAAGCTGGGGACCACTGAGCCACACCCCAGCCCCTTCTACTTTCTTTAAAGTCCTTTTCCTTTTCTTCTTAGCTTGCTGAATACAGAATGGAAGGGAATCTCTACTCACCAACTGGACAATGCAAAGTTGGTCTCCATAGCATCTTTTATTTATTTTTTGATTTATTTTATTTTATTGTATTTTTTGAGACAGGATCTCTTGTAGCCCAGGTTATTCTCAAATTCACCACATAGCCAAGGATGACTTTGAACTCCTGATCCTCCTGCTTCCACTTCCCAAATGCTGGGATTACAGTGTAGGCAACAACACTGGGCATTCCCTACAGCATCCTGTGGTAGATGGAATGCCCAGGAGGAACTGGCTGTCAGACTGATAAGTGCCTTATTAGCTAGGAAGCCTGAATGACTCTTCATGCCCACACACTTCCTGATCTAACATGTCCACTGTGTGGGCATGAAGGAGCAAGGCTTTACTAGACAAGGCCTTGTTGAAAGCACCAGGGCCACAGGCTCCTGACAGGCCTCCATATCCATACAGGCTCTCTGATGAGCCCTGGATTTGAGGCAATCACACGAGAAAATACAGACAGACACGTGCTCTCATGCCATCCTTGCAGGACTGAGCTAAGGCCATGGTGGATGGCAGAGAGACTTGTGGCATACAGGACCAGGACGAGGAGAAACAGAGACAAGATGGCGACAGCTGGCAACTGGAACATGGCGCCAAACACCACTGCCACAGAAGCCTGCTAGCTACGGCCACGCTGTGCGGCCTTGAAGCAAAACAGTATCGATTTTGTGGTTGTCAAAACGTACCTTCAACAGCAGAACTCAGTTTTATGACACCTTGAATAAAAACAAAAAATGGCAGTTATATAATTGACCCGGGTTACCTTTTTTCCATTTTTATATACCACATGCATACTTCAGAGCTGGATATTTTTTAGTTGTTGGCATTTTGAGAAATGAACTATACAAACTACTCCAAGAATGAAACACACATGGTATCAGTACTTAAGTTTCATCCTGGGGATCATTTTACACATGTCAGGACAGAGCTTGTGTCAGAATATATAACAAGAGATGGTTGCAAACCAAGGTATATCTTTCAACTTCCTCCCTGAGCTGGGTGGGTTAGAAGGCATTTTCTTGGTCTTTAGGTTCAACTTTTGGCTCTACAGGTGAGGCGTGAATTGCCTACTTGAGCACGTCAAGGTCTTCATGGAGAAAGTAGATATTGCCTGTGACTGGGCATCCATGTGTTTTTCAGAGAATTTAAAGATGAAGATGGTAAACTAGGCTAAATTAGACCTGGTTCAATAATTTGATGTAAAAAGTAATTCTTGTAAGTTGTGGTTATAGATAAATAATATTCTCCAATTTCTTTCTTTGTGTGTATGATATGTTTGTGAGTTCCTGTGTATGAGTGCAGGTGCGTATGTGTGGAGGTCAGGACCACAGCGTTGGCTGCTGGTTCCTGTCTTCCGTCTTAGACAGGGTCTCTTGTTGTTTGGTGCTGTGTATGCCAGGCTAGCTGGCCTGTGGCCTTCTAGGAATTCTCCTGTGCTGCCTCCCATATTGCCACCAGAGCTCTGGGATTACAGACACATACTCCTGTATCCAGCTTTTCATGGACTGTGGGGATTTGAACTCGGACCTTCATGTATGCTTCTATTTCCCCACTGGGCCATCTCTCCAGGCCATATTCTCCAATTTCTATGCCAAAGATGTCCATGTTCCTTTAGGCAGAGCAAAAATGTCTAAAGTTTTATTTGGTTGAAGATCTGATTCTCTTTCACACTGGAAGGATTTCCTAATTTAAATGGAAACAAAACCATTTTCATTACCATGAAACCCAGCTGATATTGGCAAACATGCATACTTCTTTTAACAGGTTATGTTCACAGAGAAGCCTACTTGTTTTCCATTATGAATTTGTGGAAAAGTTGCTTTTAAGTTAGTTAACTCCATTTTTTTTTTTTTTTTTCTTGTAGAACTGTGAGTGGCTGGTTAATATTTAACAAGGAACATTCTGGTGAGAAAGTGTGTACCTGTATGTACTTGTGTTTATTATAAATATTGCTGATATAGCTGAACATGATGGCACATGCCTTTGATCCCAGCACTGGGGAGGCAGAGGCAGGTGAATCTCTGTGAGATGGAGGTCAACCTGGTCTACATAGTGGGTTCTAAGCCAGTCAAAACAAAACAGAACCAAATCAAACCAAAACCAAATTTCCCCAAAAACCATATACCCCAAAATTGCTGATGGTATGTAGTACATGATTTATAAATAATAATGAAATGCACAGTGCTCTTTAAGGCAAGTTCCATCTAGAAATGGATTTTTTTTTTTTTTTGGTCTTTTTTTTTGGTCTTTGGTCTTTTTGAGACAGGGTCTCCCTGTAGCCTCAGCTGGGCGGGCCTTGAACTCACAGAGATCCGCCTGCCTCTGCCTCCTGAATGCTGGGATTAAAGGCATGCGCCACCACGCCCGGCTTTAGAAATGGATTTTAAAAAAATTTTATTTATTATTTTTATCTTATGTATATGTGTGTATGTATATGCGTGTATTATTTTTATTTTATGTATATGCATGTAGGTCAGTGCACCCATGTTGTGCAATGCCCGTGGAGGTCAGAAGAGGTTGTTGGATCCCCTGGGACTGGAGTTATGGACAGTTGTTAGCTGCCATGTGGGTGCTGGGATCAGAACCCAGGTCTTGTGCAAGAACAACCAGTGTTCTTAACTGATGAGCCACCTCTCCAGCCCCCTAGAAATGAATTCTTTTTATCAGTATCAGTAGCCAGCAAATCAAACAACAATTGCCAAAAATCATACCTTGATTTATATATCAACCTGACTTTTCCCAATTTTTTTTTGTCATTATATCTTTTTATATCATCTTAACCTACTCCTTGCCTTCATGAAACCATTTTTATTCAACAAAAACCTCATTCAGTTTTAATAACCATGTAAGCACCAGCACCATAGACCCCTCACTGGATATAGGGCTGGGAAGAGGCATGCAGCAACCACATACACAGGCCCAGTCGGGGTAAATGACCCCAGGAGCAGGTGCTAAAAGTTGTGATTAGAAATTCCAGGATTTTAGCAATCTGTGACCATCGTTCATGCAGTACTAGGGATTGAATGAAGTACATTGTCTAGCAGGGGGTGTAGCTCAGTAGCCAAGCACTTGACCAGCATGCCTGACTTCAGCTTGCAGAGCTGTACCACCAGTCATACATTTATTTTTAATATAAACACTAACTGCAAGTTTATATCATCTAAATGATAACAGTGAGTTCACAAACTCCCTGGAAATGGAAGAACTTAAGGACTGGTGTTTGTAAGTTGTGATGAACCAGATTTTAGGCCCAGCCACCAAAAATGACATTTTCTCCACTTAGGCTCAGTGAAGAAAATCTTGGAATAGTTTGCAGAAATTTAACCAGATAACTAATGTGAGTAGTTTAACATTTACTATTTTGACACCAAAGCCCAAAACCTCTCAAGTCTGTCACATGCAAGAAATGGCCTAATGTACTCATTATCTTGGAAGTAACAGTCATTAACAAATAAGAACACACACTAAGTGGATGTGATCCCTTTTTTAGTCAGACAATTAAACAAAGAGGAAAGTCAGGAATGAGCAACAGACATACTAAATAATGGTCTGCCATATTCAAACAATAGGATCTCTATGTAGGTTAGAGAATTGATTTTTTCCAGTCATATTTGTTTTTTAAAAATATTTATTATTCTTGAGTTGGTGCATTATGTGTGACTGCGAGCTTGTTTGTGTGACAGACACAGTGCACATGTGCAGGTCAGAGGACAACTTTGTAGAGCTGGTTCCCTCCGTCCACCTTTATGTGGGTTCCATGGATAAAACTCATGTTAGTTAGTTTGCATGGCAAGGGTCTTTACTTGATGCACATCTTGCCAGCTCTGCAGCCTAATTCCTTTTTGTGCATAATCATGGTGTCAAGCAAATGTCACTCAAATGAACATGGTGTGCACTGATAGTGTGGAGAGACAGGCGCTATGCAAGGACATCTAAATACATTTTTTCTAGGAAGCGGGATGCTCTTGGAGGGAAATACAATAATGTGCTTAATGAGTTAGTGGAAGAAAAAGTAAGTTTAAAAGCAAACAGTAGGCTGATTTTAGAACTCTTAATTATAAACATTATTGGAATAGAAGCATTACTGATTCATTAGTGGATATTTATATTTTAAACAACAAATTAAACTTTTCTATTAGGTAGACCTTTATATATTAAAAAGTAACTATGTGATAGTGAAAACCAAAAGTAGCTAAAGCTAGTTATCAACTAATATATTAAATGTTTTATTTATTATTTTTTCATTTAAAAATATTTTTATTTAATGTGTATGAGTGTATTGCCCACATGTGTGTAAGTGCAACCATGTTGTACGATGCCCACAGAGGTCAGAAGAGGGCATCAGATCCCCTGAAACTGGAGTTACTGACAGTTGTTAGCCATCATGTGGGTGCTGGGAATCAAACCCAAGTCCTCTGCAAGAGCAACCAGTGCTCTTAACTGCTGAGCCATCTCTCCAGTTCCTATACATAGTTTTTGAGCTAAATGTTTTGCTTATTCAGTTCTTGCATTTGAAGTACTCTTTGATGACATCCATGGCCTATGATTCTTTGCTGTAATCCTTAACCACTACACAATTACATCCAAACACGTTACACGACTGTCCCTCTCGATCATTTGTGCAGAGGCCTACCCATTCCCCTAGCTTCTTCTTGTCAGCCTTAATTAGGTTGATTTGGTGCTCAGCACAAAGGCCTTCCACAAACTTGACATACATAGGCTCACCACAACTGGATGCAGACATACAGAGATGGGCTTGACACTTGTCTAAGGCTTAGGCAGTTTTGCGAATTCCTCATGCTAGGCCTTGGTGGATAAGGGCTGTCTTCAGCACCTTGTGTAAAGCAGTGTTAACATCCTTTACACCTCTGGCAGCAAGGCCTCCCTCTGTCCTGGTGGTGGATTACACCCAAGCCTCCACCTCCACATGATTCAGTGGCAGCAGGGCCAAAAAACCAGTTACACAACTAGTATTAGTATTATATATATGATTACAGAATGATAGGAAAATGTATCTTTTATCTTAAAGTGTGAATATTTTAAAAAAGCGGAATATTTAAGGGAGTGGTGGTGTTTAAAACTCACACAGTACTGCCAACCTTCCAGACACACATTAGACATTTGTGAACAGCTGACACTGACATTGCCTGGGAGTTAGGGTAAGCCACAGCCCATACATGGGCACATATACACAGAATGGATCCTACTGCTCCCCACCAAATTCTTCACAGGTTTGGAAAGGTTTAAAATATTAAAAACAAAAATAAAAGGTGAAAAGAAACTTCTGTTTTCCCCTAAACTGGATGTCTTCAATATAACTAAACTCCTAACTAGGGGGTGATTTGCATAGCCCACAATCACCCCTGGCTGGAGGGTGGGAGGAAGCACCAGCTAGATGTGGCTCTGCAGCAGTTGGCTAATTCTAGAACGATTTTGTCCTCTCCCACACTATCCCTTCCTTTGCTTGCTCTAGGTACTAGGAGTTGAACCTGGGCCTTGTACATCCAGGTCTATGCTCTGATACAGACCTATGACCTCAAACCTCTTTTTACTTTTGATGTTGAGCTTTATAAATTGACCAAGTTGGCCTTGAATTCACTTCATAGTTCAGGTGGACCTTGAACTTGAGATCCTCTAGCCTCAGCCTCCAGAATAGTCCAGATTATAGGCCTATTCCATGAGGACCAGCCTTCCTTTACCACTTTGAGTTTATCTA